GGTTTATGGGAGAACCAGCTGTATCTGTATTGGCTATATAATCAAGCCACCAAAGGAGGGGGGGATTTTGACAGCCTGGAGAGGAGGGACTCTGGGATGAAGGGCTGTCTGGGCTGTGTCCCCAGGTGTGGAGAAGTGCTCTTAGCCATAGCAGCAGTGAAAATAGCAGCCACACATGCCCGGCCCGACCAAGGCTGGAGCCTCTGTGCAGGCAGGTGTCAGTGTACACAGACTTTGCTGGGGAAAAGCACACACCTGCCCAAGATACACATGCCTCGTACAGGGACAGCCACACCCAGTGAGAGAGAGAGAGAGACTATGTATGTTTACGAAGGTCCAGTTGGATTGCCAGGGAGGTCAATTTTGCAGGAGAGAAGATGAGGTGACGATGAGAGAAGATGAGGTGACGATGAGAGAAGATGAGGTGACGATGAGAGAAGATGAGGTGACGATGAGAGAAGATGAGGTGACGATGAGAGAAGATGAGGTGACGATGAGAGAAGATGAGGTGACGATGAGAGAAGATGAGGTGACGATGAGAGAAGATGAGGTGACGATGAGAGAAGATGAGGTGACGATGAGAGAAGATGAGGTGACGATGAGAGAAGATGAGGTGACGATGAGAGAAGATGAGGTGACGATGAGAGAAGATGAGGTGACGATGAGAGAAGATGAGGTGACGATGAGAGAAGATGAGGTGACGATGAGAGAAGATGAGGTGACGATGAGAGAAGATGAGGTGACGATGAGAGAAGATGAGGTGACGATGAGAGAAGATGAGGTGACGATGAGAGAAGATGAGGTGACGATGAGAGAAGATGAGGTGACGATGAGAGAAGATGAGGTGACGATGAGAGAAGATGAGGTGACGATGAGAGAAGATGAGGTGACGATGAGAGAAGATGAGGTGACGATGAGAGAAGATGAGGTGACGATGAGAGAAGATGAGGTGACGATGAGAGAAGATGAGGTGACGATGAGAGAAGATGAGGTGACGATGAGAGAAGATGAGGTGACGATGAGAGAAGATGAGGTGACGATGAGAGAAGATGAGGTGACGATGAGAGAAGATGAGGTGACGATGAGAGAAGATGAGGTGCATTTACGTGCACACACAGGAAGCCCCATTGGCTTGAAGCTCCCTTGTTGTACGGGAGGGAGAGGGAGGACTGTACAGGCAGGAAGGTGCACACATCAAAATCGAACTGCTGCCGAGTCCGAGTCCTAGAAAGCCCGGCTGCAGGGCAGCCCCTGGGGGTGAGGTCGTCCCATTGTCCAAATGCGTCAGCCTATTGTATGTGCGGAAGGGTGTGCCTGTGAAGGGCACCTCTCGCTGATGGTCTGGGCTGAGCCTGGGGAGAAACAGGCAGGAATGAGGGCGGATCCGAGGTCTCTAACGTGTTATGGAGACGGGGACGGACGGAGCTGGCTGTCAGTCTCTGCGTCTGCCTGTCCTGGACTGTGCTTCCGGGTACCTCTCCTGTCTGTCCCTTTCGCTTCTGTAGGTCTCAACCACCCACCTCTCCTACTTGGCCTCTCCTGGTGGGCGATTTCTCCCTCTGTTCAGTTTGTCTTTCTCTCACTGCCTCTTCAGCTCTTTGACCTTTCTGAACGACACACCCACAAAGAGGGAGAAACAACCAGATCCGGAAATATAAATTGAAACGCCTGTCTTCGATGCCGCGCTCATTGGTGATAGAGCCCATCCATCTTGCGGATCCCGCCATAGATGTGACAAGCACATTTTCATATTTGCATAAAAAATCGAAGTACAGCCTTGGAAGTTCTGTTTCAGCTTAAGCGTTTGCTTCTGAGTCTGGGAATCTGTGTATCTGTTTTTCTCAGGGGCCCTACTTCATTAGACATTCAAGGCGCTCGGACCTGCTGCAACTTCCGCAATCTTCCTGGTCTCCAGCACTGCCTTCTTGGGAATTGGCCTCAGTTGGTCAAAGACTTTTCTGAGTCAGAGACAGTTAGATAGCCATCTTGCAAGCGAGCTCCTGGAGAGAGACATTTGAAACCTGATGGAGATGTGCTCCTGCTGCTCCAGGGACACAAGAAGGGCTTCTGGCCAAACAGAAATAGTCTCTTAATCCCAAATCCCAACTCAGAGGTTGAAGGCCTCTTTGGAGTGGAATGAAGGCAACGTGTGTGAAGCTCTAGGATCCCAGGCACTGCCCCACCCAGCCGGCAAGTCCTGGAAACGATATGGAGGAAAACCGATAGTAAAGTTCCCAGCTTCCTGAAGGCCCACTGGTCTAGTAGAAGAAAGTTCGAGTAAGAGGGATGGAGTATGAAGAAGGGGGCAGTGGTGTGCCCTCTTAGACCGCTAGAGAACACCAGAACCAGGGCTCCAGGAAGACAGCAGAGACTCCAAAGAAGAGGAAGGGCTCCCAGCTCAATGTGGTGGTGGTGGGGGGAGGACCTGCTCCTGCACTCTGTGCTCACCGCGATCTGCAGAGAATGAATGAATACTCGGAAAACCACTTCTTGGGTTCTCCTGACCTTTTTCTCGGTGGTGCAGAGGAAAAAGGATCAGAAGATACTGTGGATGGGCTTTGGATTCAGACTCAGCCTTAGCATCCAGGTCCACGGGGGGCCTGGGGGCTGGGGAAAGGCCTGGGCCCCCAGGCTGGGCTCAAGCTGGAGTGAACCGGGAGAGCTCATCCCTCCCTTCTCCAGCGAAACAAGCAGACTCTCACTTTCTCGCCAGGTCTGGGTCCTTTGTGCCTGTCTCTGTGTGGGTTTGCAACTCTCTGGGCACTGGCTCCCCGCACCCTGTGAGCCATGGCTCCCATCTCTCAGTCTCTGTCACTGCTTCACAGTTTTTCTGGCTTCATCTGTCTCTGCTTTCAGGTCTCTGTCTCTCCATAACACCCCTCCTGCCCCGCACCCCCTGCCTTTGTTAATTCAAAGGCTTCTCACGGAGCCCCTCCCCACTCTTCCCAGAATAACATTGAGTAAAATGAGATAAAACCACCCGCCTGCCCGCCCATAGGTTTTTTTTTTTCCTCTCCTACTCCCCTCAGCCCCCTCCTCCAGGGCTACAACCCCCTCTTATAATGTCAGATAATTGCTGGTGTGCAGCTCTGAGAAGCCAGAGCTGATACCAGGGAAGGAGAGGAGGGAAGAGAAATAAATAATAATCTGCCTCCATTCAGCGTATATAGGTTACCTGATTTGCATATATGCTAATAATGCTATAATTACCCTGCTGTTCTGGCCTATGATCAAGTTCTATAAATACATAGGATAGCAGAGCTAGGCCTAGCAACACCACCCCCAAATGATAAAGTATCCGTATATGTGTGCATTTCGGTGGCCTCGAAGTCTCCAGCCTCTGTTAGCGCACCCTCCCTTCCAGAGCCTGCTATGGCTCGCAGCTTCTCCTCCTGCCTTGGAGGAGAAAGAGACGCCTGAATGAGAAAATAATCCAGGTTATATTTAACCGTTAGTGTTAATTTCATTATGAATGTTATAGCTTTTTTTAGGAAAAAATATCAAAGATTCCCTCAAAGTATTGGATTGTGATCGTCAGCCCGTCCCCCACGCTCAGGGGTGCAGTTGGCGACAGGAGGAGGCAGCCCCTTTCTCCCAGGCCCGTGGAGATGTTTAGGAAAGTGCTGCCTATGAGGAGGAGGTGGCTTGCCCTTCCCCAGTCTGCCCCCATGGTTTGGTCTCCTGGCACCCCCCCAACCCGTCCTCATCCTCGCAGGAAACCAGAGGGGACATGCACCATGCACCATGGAGAGACTGGGGAGGTTTTGGGTGATGACGGTGGAAGTGGGGAGGAACGCAGAGGAACATAAAAGATGCAATCCACAGCTGTCTGCTTTTAATTATAATTATCCCCTTCGCTTCCTTTCTGGCTAATGAGGGGGATTTCATTTTTTTTCTCCCCTTTCTCCCCCTCCCTTCTTTCTCTGGAATTGGGGGGTGGGGTGAATTCAGGGTCCTCCTCCCCTTTCTCCCCTGTCCCCTGTTACTGGGGAGAAAGGCAGACTCCAGAGGGTGGTGACAGTATGAAGAGATTTGTAGGAACAAAAGAAGGACAGGTTTGGATTGCTGGACACGTCCCAGAGTTGGAGAGACCCCCCCATTCCACTGGCACCTCCGCCCATCAACCCCCCAGCTCCCTAGACAAGGAACTCAATGTCTCTTCCAGCCGGTGAGAAAGGAGCTAACGGAGCCCTGGTCTGGAGGGAGGGGGAGGCCAGGGGTGGGATTGGGGGGGTGCAAAATTAGTCTCAAAGGATCTTTATTTCTGAGCTACTGAAGCAGATGTAATGAAGGGGAGAGCAAAATAATCATGATGGGAGGAATGGGGGGAGGGGAGCTGAGGCTGGAGTTGGGGGACAGGGCCCAGGACGGGGCTGGGAAGTGGGGGGCAGGGGACGCTAAGTCGGGGAGGCTGTCGCCTTCTCTCCCAGTCCTCTCAGGGGCCCCTACTTTGAGGCAGGCAAAGAAGGACCAAGTGTATAGACCCAGACCCCAGCCCTGGGATCCCCACACGGGCTCGGACGGCTGGGCCAGAAGGTGTCTGGGAAGGCACCGGGAGAGGAGAGTGGAGACTGAAAGCAGTGGGGGAGGGTGAGAGAGGGGAGCCGGCAGGGACTCAAGTGGCCTTCAGGTCTGTGGGACAAAAGTTGGAGGGCGATTTGTGTCTGAGAGGAGGGGAGGGGGCCGTGGGGAAGGGGGGGCTTTGACAATGAACTTGAGACAAACTTCATTAGCATGCAGGCCTGCTGTCTGTCACGTCGGGCTCAGACCGAGTTCCCATGCAGGCCAAGAGGAGTGGGAGGGAGGGGAAGGGAGGGGCCGAGGGTGGGGTGAGAGAGAGAAAAGAGAGCCGACCATTGTGCCGTTCTGGGCCCCAGCTTCCACCAAATATCGGACCGGCCCTGGAAACCACCCCCAAACCGCTCTCCCTCCTCTCAGAACAAGATAATTTATCTCCCACTTTGAATCTGAGGCCCCACCTCTCCTAGTCTAGTCTAGACTCCAAGGGCTGGCCTCTGTCACCCCCGACACGCACTCTGTCCCCCACCCCTGCAGTCTGAGCCTTCATCTTCCAGTGGTCACTTTCTCCTTTCTGACTAAGAGCTGGATTTGGGATCAGTGAAGCTGACAGGAGAAGAGTAGTGGAGAGATTTGAGCAAGAGGGGACTGGAGCCCCCCAGACCACAAATGGCAGGGATGCCCTCTTCCTGCGACTCCTATCAACTCCACTCCCATCCTAGACACACACACCATTCACTCCTCGCTCAAGTTCCAAAGTGAACTGGAACTCCGAGGACAATGGGGACGGGGTATTCTGTCACACCCTTTCTCTTGCTTCCTTTGGGGAGGAGGGAGGCCAGAAGGAACAATAGCTTCCCTGAGCCCCTTCTTCCTGCCTCAGGTTAGAGCCGGCAGGAGGGGAAGGTGGGAACCGGAGTGGAGACGACAAAGACCCTTCCCACGCAGCGCAGCGGCCTTAGGAGGAGGAGGAGGGGCTCCTCAGAGGGGGCTGTGTTTGGGTGGTGGTGAGGGTGTCTTCAGATAGGGGCAGCACCCCCTTTTGCTGCCTTCCCAGGGAGAGCAGCAAGAGAAAGAAAGAGAGAGGCGAGCGAAATTCCTGAATGGATAGACAGATGCTACGTCACCGTCATCGGAGCTGCATCCTCCACTCCACAAGAGGCTAGGGGCTGGGGGCAGAGAGGCAGTCCAGCCGCAGGGGCCACCGAGCAATCTCTCCTCCTCACAGAAGCCGGGTAAGTGGCCACTTGGGTCCAGGAAGGATCCGAGCCCCTTCAGACCTCTGGGCTGTGGTGGGAAGGGATCCCCCCAAATCAGTCGGGGTTCCCTAACCTTTCTACTTTCCCTCCTGGCTAATGGAGGCTGGTGCAACCTCACAGAAAGGAAAGGCGGGGCGGATATTTAGGGGGTCCCCAGAAGGGATGAGGCATGTGAGGAGAGGACGAGGTGGCAGTGTGGCGCTGTCCCCGCTGCTGCTTCCCAGTGTGGACTGGAGGCACGGCCCTGCCCAGCCGCCCCAGAGCGCCTCTGGTCCCCCTCCTTTCCCAGCCCCTGCCAGCGGAGACAGCTCGCTAAGTTTGTCAATGGGATTGTGGGGGGGCTTTAGGGTCACGGTGCTACTGATCCTATTAATCCGCCCCTCCCTTCTCTCCACCAGACATGGCCAACATCTTAATGCTCAGAGAAGAGGCAGGAAGGAAGACAGTAGTGGAGGTGGGAGGGAGGAGGAAAATGCCTGTGTTTGAACTCCTGACCTTTCTGCCCTCTGGCTCTTACTCCGCTCTGTTGCAAAGACTTGGGATTTTAGGGGAGGACAAAGTCTGAGGGACATGGGTGGGGTGGGGGAAAAAGAGACACATTTCCAGAAAGGAGGAGCCCAGACTGGGAAAAATCCAGAACCATTTGATAGGTTTCACCTGAATTTCATCCCCTTCCTCCCACCCACCTTTCTATGCGCCCGGCAACTGGGAAAGGGGCTGGAAAGGCAGATGTGGTGTCGGGCAGGTGTTTAGGTTCTAGAAAGGGAGAGAATCCAACTCCAGCCCTCTTCAGACCCCATCTAATGGAGGGCTTTTTGTTTTCATTTTTGTTGGTTATAAAGGAAGGCCAGGGGTACAGAAAGAAGGCCACTCCTGCCCCTGGGCCTTGGTGGGCTGTGGGGAGCAGAGGAGTGGAGCAGACTATTCCTGGTACCCCAGAGGCCAGACAGCGGGGGGCGGCGGGGGCGGCCAACCGTCATCCACGCACACACACATGTTCCATGCCTGCTGGGCCGTGTTCCTCACCACCGCGTGCTCCTGGGCACTGTGTGTGTGTTTGGTGGTGGAATAGCAGGGCAGAGACCAGTGAGGAGAGGTACAAGGTACGACCACAACCACGCCAGGAACCCCAGAACTGTCACTGCTTAGGGTGGGAGGAGAAGCCGAAGGCATCCACACTGTCCCGGGCCTGTTTCTAGCATGTCAGCAGATTGGCATGGGTGAGGGTGGCCCCTTCCTTGGTGTGAAGAGACCGATTTCAAGCTGAGACCTCCCTTTGTGAACTGGTTAGGCTGGCAGAGCTGAGGCCGGAGGCTAGGGAGCAGTCATGCCTGGGAGTTAGAAGTGAGCAGGGGGCATTCAAACAGCCCTCCTAGAAATCAGGCTGGGGCGTAAGGCTTATCCCTGCCCCCCAGCCCCCACTTTTTCTGATTGCTCTGCATTTAGGAGGCTTGCTTTCTGACTTAAATAAAGATGAGTTTTAGAATTGAGTTGGAGGTAGACGAATTCACCAGCTTACCCTAACACACACACACACACACACACACACACACACACACCACGTAAACCGACTCCTCTTGGCATCTCAGGAACTGGCCCACCTATGGTGTACCCGTCCTTCCCCCAAACCGTAATTTAACCTGAAAGCGACATACTAGGAAAGTAAGATGATGAAGTATTGAGACTGGCTTCCATATCTGACATTAAAATGATCATGTTTAAAGACTGCTTTGTATTCACACCTTTGTATATGTGGAAAAGGAGAGGGAGAAAATGGATCGCTACAGGGTATGTCTTTGTGAACTCAAAGGGCTCCACATGGGTAGGTGCCAGCAGATAGGAAGTGACAGAGGTGGGTGGAGAAAGCTGGAGAGATACCATGATGGAGAAGATCTTAAATGCATATGGCACTTTGCAGTTTATGGTGGCCTTACATCCAGACAGACAGAAATATATCCCTAAGCCCAGACCCTTCCTTCTCTCCTGAGCGTGTTCTCTGGCAGACCGTGAGCAGCAGGCTCTGGCAGACCGTGAGAAGCAGGAATCTACAGGAGCCAGTAGAAATCCATTAGGCGGGGGTTCTTCTTTAGGGTGAAGTCAGAAGCTCCACAGACTTCGATCCAGTCTCTGGATGGAGGTGAGGGAGGACAAGGCCTGGTTAGCGTCCAATCATCCCAGTGAGATGGAACAGACAGGCCCTAGCGAGAAGCCTGCCTTCCCCGGCGTGTCCAGGCTTTTCTTGGTCTATCCCCCAGCGCCACCGTTAGGCCTGGCAATGGAAGAGGGCCCCCAGACCACCTAGGTCATGAAGACAGGACCAGAGATAAGCAGGTGGTGAGAAAGATAGGGAATTTTCAAGGGACTTTAACCTGTGTATTCTCCCCCTCGGCAGGAGCTGGGCATCCCAGAAGAAGCAGCCTCATTTGTTTCTGGTGTGATCGTAGGTGGCCGCCTTTGGCTTTTGGGGTATTTATTTTTGAATTTTATTTGTTGTTTTTGGTGGTGGTGTTGGCGGGGGTGGGGAGGCAAAGGAACGCTGGCCCTGCACCACCCGCATTGTTTTCTCGTCCTCCACGCCTCCCTCCCTCAGCCACTGCCTTTTTCAGAGACCCCAGCTTTCAGCTTCTGATTTCGGTTGACTCCTGCTGTAATAAGACCTATCTAGGTAGGCAATGATGCTGGGCACGGAACACCCTGCTCTGGCAGAGAGCAAAGGCATTGGCGATACAGGGAACTCTTTTTCTCCTCTTCCATAAGCTCCTGAGGGCAGGGCTGGAGGCTGGTTGACCTTGGGGGAGGCTGGCTGGGAGGGGCACAGAGGTATCTGTATATGGGTGGCAGAGGTAGAAAAAGAGAGGAGTGTGGTTACGGTGAGTGGGCACCGGGGAGCTGAAATAGCGGAGTGTGGGCGAGCATCGGGAGGTGGCACTGCTGGGACTAGCCAGGGGTTTGTCATTGCATTTGTCTGAGTTGATAGGTTTGAATGTGTGTGTGTGAGTGTGTGCGTGCGCGCGTGCGCACACACATATGCGTGTGTGCATGCGCAATACTCTTGCACACTCATGCTTATGTCCCTTAAGGAGGCCATTTGCTGATGGCTGAGGGTCTTGTAGAAGGGGCTCAGTTTAGACGAATCAGCCAGTATTCTACCATCTCGGCCGCCTTGTTCTCACCTCCCTGGCACCACAGGGCTCTGGGCAAGTGAGTGGTGTGTGTGGGCTCAAGAACAGAGCTGGGAGCAGGCAGCAGAAGGCTCACCACACAGCCAGGGGGATCCTGGCTGGCCCCTCAGTGGGAGGAAAGGCAGTATTCCCAGGAGAATCCTCCAGGTTTGGTCTCTGTGCCCTCTAACCGTGCCTGCCCATATGGATAGACATATATGTATATTTTTTCATGCAGCCTCAACATTTTTTTTTTACTGCCAGTTCTTGCTTATATTTGCCACTATCCCATAGACAATGCAAATATTCTGTAGCAAAAGAATAAGGTGTGCTAATGTCCATAATAATGAAGCACTCACAAACAAACAAAAATCTGAATCCACCCTCCCCCAAATACAGTTTTCGGTTGTATCTTCAAGGCAAATTAACCTGGTAATGGAAACAAAGGGGAAAAAGAATGTACTTCTGATTTAATTACCTGCAGATTCCAAGAGAGTGGTTTACTGTTCACATGTATTTTGGGACCCAAATTATGTAGATCTGTCTAAAAGCTGCACCGGGAGAGTGTGATTCGGGCCCTGTTTTTTTCTATGTGGGCCTCTCAGCCACACAGACAATAGGTGGGCACCAGGGCTGCAGGGAGGGGTGGGTCGGGCACTGGCAAAGGATGCAGGCTCCGAGGCAGACGGGGGCACTTATGGACTCAGATCAGCATTGGGGTTTGCCATGTCCTCCTCTTGATCCCCGAGAATTTCCCTAGAAGGAAAGATTCAGGGCAGAGTGTGCCCTGTTCTGTGGCACCACAGAACGCGGCAGCAGACTGCACTGGAAGCTGGAAGTGGGGGGCTCTGCTCTGACCTAAACCTTCCTAAGGAGACCAAGGCCAAAGGCCACCTACTGCACCCAATAGCTCCAGCTATTAGCAGCCTACAGGCCTGCCATGCTCCGTTAGTTAGAAGGCTCTCCTCTGGTCCAAAAGACTGCCGAATAATCAAAAACACACCGCACAATGGACACAACTCTCCCTCCCCTCCCACATGCACACCTATACCCAGATTCCACGGAACACACGATTTGTCCATACCCTCACTCTCCACCCATCCCCTACTCCATCCATGTCATCACAAACCTGGACTTGTAGTCACATACAGGTATAAGTGTATGGATTACTGGGCACCCCCTGTATTTTAAGAATACTTTGCCTGAAGTTTGCCTTCTTTGTTTTCTCCTAGATGAAGAGTATGTATGAAATTGCCCCTGCCTTTGAGAGGCTGTCTCATTTGCCACCCTCAAAGTAGTTTCTTTTTTGAAACTGGAACAACATGGCATAGTACACAAACCAGGATCAGCTAACATGATGGTAGCAGTGATTTCTTCTTCTTTCGTGGCTGTTAGCTCTATCTCCACTGGGATGAAAACAGTTGCCCACTTGCCTTCCTATTGAAGCAGGAGTGGTGGGAGACCAGGTTGTCAAACAAACCCAGACAAAACTGAAGAATGGCTTCATTAGGAATCTGGACAGAGGAGGGAGTTCCATGTGGATACCACCAGGACAGTTTAGAGTAATCTCCATCTTTCTTTATGGTGGGAGGTGGAGAGAGTCTCCCTTTAAACTTGAACATTCTGTTTAAGTGAAACTATCTCTGTAGAACCCAGAGCTACAGTAAGAGGCTGGAGGATGTTGCTCTTTTTCTAGCTGTTTGGGAGAAATTTAGACATACTTCTAGAAGTTAGTTAAATATACCCATTTCTCTCCCGCCCTTGGTTTTTAAGAAAAGTCCAGTTGAGTCTGAATTTGGTTAGTAGCAGTGGGAGTAGGGGAGTTTCTGCTGGGCCAAGAAACTTTTCTACTCCTTCCCTTCCCCAGCAAAACTACAGCAGAGGCTGAAGGAGAAGGCAGATTCTTGTGACCCCAGCTGCCTCTTGCCACACTGGATGGCCCAGGCCAGGATAAGGGATTGAGACAATAAACATGGGCCCCACAAGGGCCCAAATCCAGGATATTTGGCTAGAAACTGGTGACAGAGAAAAAAAGGGGAGAGTTTTAGCTACTAGGATAGTCGGTCTTCTCCAAAGCTGGCCTCAGCCTCCCACTTACTGGTGAGGGGCTGAAGGAGGACGAAAAAGGTTTGCTGAGGGTGCTTTTTAAGGGATCTTGTAGGAGAGAGAATGGAGAGACATTTGCAGAGGAAGCTGTGTGTCTGTCCAGAGAAGTGCAAGCCCTATTTAGAAGTGCTGGAATGTCTGGGGGTGGGAGGGATTAGGCATCTTGTAAAGGGGAATGAGGTGGTATTCTGAGGGGTTGGTAGGCTTGGAGAGAAAAGGCTGGAGGGCCTGCAGTTTCTCTGGAGCCCCATGGGGGATGCATTTAGGGGATGCATTTAGCAGCTCGCCAGTAGGTGGTCTATCTGTGAGAATATTTGGCGATGGTTTTGTTTTTCTGCAAGCAGTGCTACAGCAACAGGCACCCTATGGCTGCCTCCTGAGCTGTAAGGCTCTGGCAGGGTAGGAGTAAACAGAGTGGCCACTTTGTCTCTGCCGTTTTCCTCCCACCCTCATCGTTGGCTGGGGTGCTCCCATTTCCAGGAGGATAAAGCATTGACTCTGCAGAAGCTTCTAGAAAGCCTGTTCCTTGGGACCCTGTGGAGGCTGACAGGGGAAAGCTGTGCGGAGCCCGGTTCCCAGAATGCCCTAAGATCTCAGGAAATCAGGTCATTTGCTTCAGCCCCCAAACTGTTCTTCTGGTAGGAAAGCACATGGTTGCTGGGCTTTATCCTGTTTGAACTGTCCCCACCGCAGTCATGCTGCCAGCATCAATGGCAGCGATTATGGGATTTTTGAGGGGAGCACCAATTAAACCCTTTGGCCATTGGCTTGCATCTAACCTATGCGAATGGCATTCAGGCTCGGCTTTGTCTTGGGCTGTGCATCAGGCAGATGGGAAAATTCTGTCCAGGCCTGAGGGGCAAACCGATGGTATCCAGAGTGCACCCCTGTGGCCTAGTACGCAAGGGTCCCACGTTTTAGGAGCTGATCACATGCAGCTGACATTCAAACTGCAGGTTTCAGAGTTGTGTTTTTGGGTTTTTTTTGGTTTTTTGTTTTTTGGGGTTTTTTTGGCAAAGAGGCCAGAGTAGGGGGTGGCTTGTCGGAGCAGCAGGCAAAGTGGTTCAGGAAGGAGCCGCAGCTCACTCAGAGAACTCCCACAGGCAGGGAGAATTTGGAACTTTGTATCATTCCAAGTTATGGTGGTTCTGAGTCTCTCTGGGTGAAGAGGCAGAACCAGGAATGTCGGGGTAGGCCAGATGGGGGAGCCAGGCCGGCAAAGTCCAGAAGGGAACCTTGCTGGAAGGTGACCCCAGCTCTCCAGATACCAGGGACTGGAACACTGGTGGGGAGCACAGGCCTCTCGGTTGGAGGGAGGGTTAGGGACGCAGGCCTCTGGGTTGGAGGCGCAGGCCTCCAGGTCTGAGGGGCACTGGGAGGGGCACTGAGTGGCAGAACGGAGAGAAGGTGCTAGAGAGGGTCTTCATCACTGGCTGGAATTCTTCAAGTCTTACCCTGGCAGATGCCAGCCGAGTTTTTCCTCCCCAGCCTTTAACACCTGGAATTGTGGTATTGTAAACAGGTTCAAGAATCATTCCCATTTCTGCAAAGTGGAAAAGGAGGCCCAGCCTTGCTCAGACCTGGATCTCCCTGTAGGAGTCCCAAACTTCCAGAATTGTTCCCTCAGTTTTGGGTTGAAAACTAACAAGAAATGTCCCTGCCCATCCTAAACGATTAAGATCACAGTCTGGAAAGGTCAGAACCCCAGAAGCACAAAGAATATTTTGATAGAAGGCAGGTAGAGGTAGAGTTTCCAATCATCTGGTTCTCTTTGAGGAGATTTCACCCTACTCCTTTTTAATTTTTGCTCCCTGATCCCGGTGCAACGTACGAAGGGCCAAAATGGAAAATGTAGGACCTATAGAAGGAGCGAGGCTGAAGATCAGAACCGCAGATGGCAATGGATTGGAGATGGCAAGCGGGCCTGGGAGGCAGGTAGGTGAGGCATCAAGAGGCTAAGAATCAGCACGCAGACCGAGTAGCCCTCCCACGTCTCCCCGGGAGGGGCGCCCCAATTGTGCGCCCTGGCTGGGCCTGGGAAGGTGGAGGGGCGGGGCCGGCGGGGGAACGAGGCGGTGACGTCAGACTCGGTAGACCCAATCAGAGGCTGGCCTAGGGAGGGAGTGTGAAAGGATGAATGAAAAGTCCGGAACAGGAGCGCGGCGGGGCCAGAGCAGCTGCAGAGGCTGAGGAGAGCACTGGGGAGGTGAGACCCGCTCCACCCTGCTCGCCATGGCTCAGCAGAGGCTAAGAGCCCGGCAGGTCCCTCCGCCCCGGCGCCCGCCGAGTCTTGGCATTTGGAATCCAGGTCTGTGGCGCTCCAAGGGCGGGGACCCGCCGGCAGGACCGCGAGGGAGAGCACTGATGCGCAGCCTGTGCTTGATGTAAGTGGCCTGGCCGGCGTGGGGCACGAGTTGGGCGAGCGCCTCGGAATCCAGCGTGCCCGCGCGTCCGCCAGAGAAGCCGGGCAAGCCCTGCAACCCTCCTGGGGGCTCCCTGGACCTCCTTCTCGTAGATTCCGTTCCTGATCGCAACCCCTGTCGACCCTTTGGGGTAACTCTCGCCTCGGACCCCCGGCCATTTTCACAGCCCTGGGTGATTTCAGGTCCTTTTTGTACAAAGCCGTTCCTCTGGGGGTCTGCGGGGCCTGAGTCTCGACTTACCTGCCCGGGCGCCCTCCAATTTCCTACCAACCCAATCCCTCGGTGCTCCCACAGCTCTCTTCCCGGGTGGGGTCTTTGCCCTTTCCCTCTTTCCTTGGGAGTCTCTGGGTCGCCTCCTACCCCGCCCCCACAGCCTTCCCTCACTCTTTGGGTCGCCGGGATTTCCCTGTTTCCTGGCGCGCCCCTGGGGTTTCCCCCCCAGGGTTTCGCAGCCCGCTCCCCCTTTCAGTCGGCAGCCTGGATCCAGCTCTTTGCTCCCCTTCGCTTCCGTGTCCTTGCGAGTTGGAGGGGTGGCCTGTCCGGCTCCTCCGCTCCCCTTCTCCCCACGCGGAGTCTCGGGCTCCGCTGAAGGCCAAGGCGCTGGCCATCAGACGCGTTCTCGATCTTCCGGAGAAGGGCAATGGAGACCTGGTGAGGTTGCGGAGGCCTCTGCCGTCTTCCCGGGTGGCACAAAAAGCCCGCGAGTCCCTTCTCTCTCTGACCAGCACAACTAGAGCTTCTGACTCAAATGGAGTGGGAAATGGGGCGTCGGAAGCTTTTGGGGTCGGGGGTCGATCCCTGGACCTCGATGCCAACGGCGGTCGCGTCCTTTCTTCGCTTTCCCGGTCTCGCCGAGTCTCTATTCCTGTGTCTGAGTCTTTTTTGGTGTTGGACTCCATTTCCCTCTCCGGCCCCATCTCCACCAGCGTGCCCTTCCCCGATCCCCTCCGGCGGGCGACCCGGAGCCTGCGGAGGTACTGGCGGGGGGGGGGGGGGGGGGGGCGTGGGGGGGGGGGGGCGGCGGCGGCGGCAGCCAGGAGGCGGGGTTGGTTGTTATCTTTGGTTATCTAGCTGTATGAGTGGTGTGGAGTCTTCATAAAGCTAGATAACCGAAAGTAAAAATAACCCCATACACTGCGCAGAGGGGCCCGGAGAAGGCTTGCTTCACGGGGGGCGGGGGAGACCTGAGTCTCTGAGCGAGGGACTCAACCATGAGGATTCACCCGCTGTGGGAAGCCGCAAGAAAACCCGGCAGCCCACCAGCCTCGAGACTGCACTGGTCAGGGCGACTTCCCACCCCCAAGCCGGTCGGCGCAGGTAGGAGTCACCACCCCACCTCACCTGAGCCGGAGTTGGGGAGAAGGCAAGAAATCGCATTGTGTGGTTCTCTACAGTGGTCTAGGCTAGGGGGAACTGCTTCCAGAGGTCTGTTGAAATCTAGCTGCAGGGTAATTCTGGACTATGCCTGGAGCTCCTGGCCCAGCCCTCCCCTGGGTGGGAGCTGGTAAACAGTTCGCAGAGACTGTCCAGGAATATTGCTGCGTTTGGGAGGGTCTGGCGTCCCTGAGAATACTGGTCTTTGCTTTGGTGGGCTCCTCAAGGCTTCCTACCTGCAGGGCCACCCAGCCTGGTTGGGAGCTGAGAAGGGCAGTGGAAATAGGTGGAAAGTAGGCTGGAGGTAGTGGGGGAAGGGGTGGAGGGCGTGTGTGGCTGGAGAGCCTTTGGCCCAGCCTGGATTTGGGGCAGTGAGCACAGTTCACTCTGCTCCGATTCCGTGTTCTCTCACCCTTCAGCCCCAGGACTTGAGTCTGGTGTCTTAAGATTTTCAAGTTGCTTTGTAGTGACCAAAAGTATTGAAGGTATTTTATTTTTTAATTATTTTATTTTACTTTACTTATTTATTTTTTATTTATCTTAATTTGACCAGAGAGGGACAAAAGAGAGAGAGAGAAAGTGAGAAAGCAAGCCACCAGGTCTGGAACTCGAACCGCGGTTGGCCACGTGGGAGTCCAGTGCCCTTAACCAGCATGCCACCTGCCAGCCCCAAGTTGGGTTTTTTTCAGGCCACCCTACCTTCCCACCCCATCCTCGCTCTTGACATTGTCTCCAAGAACAAATGGCCTCAAGGAGCTCTAAGGAGCTCAGACACAAAGGAATGTGTAGCTTAGTATCTATGCTGCCCAGAGAAAGCAAAGAATTAGAGATTAATCAGGGCCTTTCCTAAAGGAATCCATTTATCTGGCCTGACCTACATATTCTAGGCAAAAGAGTGTTTAGGTGCAGAGGAGAGGAGGACGGTGCAGGTCACTGTGTAGAATAAAAGTAGAGGTGGCCCAGGCCAGTGGTAGCCCCTCTGCCTGCATCTCGCTCTCTCCCCCAGCCGGGCCTGGCACACCAGGACAGGCAGGAAGGAGTACTTGGAGGGAGGGGACTGGACAAAATGACCTTGAACTGGCTCTAGTTTCCTACGTAAATTTAAAATTTCCTCCCAGGACCTGACTTTATAGTTAGAAGATAATGATTCAATTAGATATTATGTGGTAGAAATACTGGCGAATCCAAACTCTAAAAAATCGGGCTTCGGGGAGCCGGGAGTACATATGTCTCCTTCCTTTAGAGATCTGGAGGAAGGAAAGATTAGTGGCCTCTTACTTTTTCAGCCCTTTGGAATCTGGGTTTTCTGGAGGAGGGGCAGTAGACACTGGATTAGGGAGAAGGGGGGGCGGCAAAAACCTTGCCGGTTTTAGGCAAGAGCTAATAATCCCTAACCCTCTCTGCTCTCCTTCCTGGCCCACCTCCTTGCCCTCTGTTTGGCCAACTCCATTTGGCTGCTATGAACCCCTTTTTACAGATGAGAGCCACCAACCCACAACCCACGTTAGGGGCTGTTCCCACCGAACTTGTTTGTGGGAAGAGCTGGAGAGAGTGAGGTAGGGGCAGAGACAGGGCTGAGCTGAGCTGGAGGACTTGGGCCTTGGGGAAGAGGGAAGGCCAGTTGTGAACAGGATCTGGGAACCAGGATGGGAGGAAGAGAAGCCTGAGAAAAATAGGCTTGGGCCAGCAGGTGGCTTGGTGGTTAAGGCGGCTGGATCGCACATGGCTGACTCGGCAGTTTGAGTCCCAGACCCAGTGGCTTGGAAAAACATATGAGGTGCATGTGTGTGTGTGCCCAAAATCCTGAGAGGAGAGTGAAAGAGAAAAGGATTGCAGCGTGGTCTTCGCCCGCCCCAGGGTGATTTCTCACCTTCCCTCCCTGTCTCTCTCTGGGAATCACATGTGCCCTATGGCCAAAAACAGGGTGTGTGTGTGTGTGTGTGTGTGTGTGTGTGTAAGATATGTTTTCCCCACCTCTTTACACAAACTTTTTGCGTAGCTGTTCGGAGATGTGTATTTGGATCTGCCGAGGTTCATCCACATGACTTAATGCCCATCTTACTAACCACGAGTATACGGCTGTTGCCGTAGTCTCCCATGAGTGTATTTGACCACAGACTCTCTAAAGGAAAATGGAGGGCCCGAGAGACTGGTGGGGTGAGGGATTACACCCCACAAGATAAGCACCTCGGCGGAAAGCGAGAATGGAGGCCAGGAGGGACGCGGAGGAAAGCCGTGCCGCCTGATGTGTGCCTACGGCGTGTGCACGCTGGGGTGTGGGCGGGGCTGTCGGGACAGTGACGGGTGATGTGTGTGTCTGCTTAGGAGGGTGCGATGCAACGCCTGGTGTGAGGTTGGATGTGCGTGACTCCGTGGTGAGCAGGAAGGGAAGATCGAGGGTGTAAGATTAGGGGTGCCTGGCCGTGTGGAGGACAGACCTACTATAGGAGCAGACACTCAGATCTGGGGGGTTTGCTGAACACAGTGACACCACTGAGTCGCCTCCCCCAGATACGGGTTAACCCCTCCTCCAACTAAACCCGGTGGTAGGACTGGAGGACTGGGGCGTGGGGGGCTGAGCTGCAGTTACTGGGTAAGTTCCTCCCTCGCAGCCTTACAGCATACCTCCGTGTCTGAGGATTTTCCGTTCTAGACATCAGAGCTTGCCGTATCTGCGGTTTTTGTTTGTTTGTTTGTTTGTTTTAGTGAAAACCAAATTCTAAGCTGGTTTCTTCATCCGTGTCTCTCCTCGGCTCTTCCCCCTAATACCCATCTACTGAATTCTAAGTCCAGGAGTCCAAAGGCAATTTTTCCTAAATATTTGACTGAAGTCTTGTATTATCACACACACTCTCATTCTGGGACATATTTTCCCTCAATTCCAGGTATTGAAAGGGTCTTGTTGAGTGGCTCCACGGCCTGGTAGTTGGATCCCACATGACTGACCACACAGTTCGAGTCCTGGACCAGGTGACTTGAGAAACACATTGGGCACATCTGTGTGATGCCCCAAATCCTGAAAGGAGGGACAGAAGGACAGGAGGTCGTGGCGTGACTGCCCATGATGGATGCTTTCTCCTCTCCCTCTCTCTCCAGAGAGCGCGTGCATCCTCAAGCCAAAAGAAAAGAAAAGAAATAAAATAAGAAAGAGTCTTCTCAGAAGGCCTTTACAGTCACAAGAATCAGCATAGCCAGCCATCGATGAGAGGGGAAGAAACAGGACAAACGTGACCAAAGCCAGACCCATGGTTTGGTGCCTTGTCACCAGCTACACAAATCGCTGGGCCTCAGATTCAGATGTCTGCGTACTGGGACTATCGGGTTGTAAAATGAAAACTTCTCTATAAAGATCTCATAATATGATATCCCTGACATAGTATAGGTAATTCTCAGGTTGCAGAAGGGTTAGAGGCTGCAGTTTGGAAAGAGGGTTTGATAGCAGCTGATTGATCTCCCTGTAGAAAGGGCTGATTGATCTCCATGTAGAAAGGGCAGCTCTCTGGCATGGTTTGGACTGAGCATCTCAAAACATTTCCACCTGAGGAACTTCCTCTTTCTTTCCCAGCTTAGGGTGTCAAGGAGGGACGGGCTGCCACAGTCCTGGGAAGCCTGTTAGGGGAAGAGGCTGGTGTCCTTGTGGCAGAATGCCCACCTCACTCTTTCTGGTTTGTGGATCTTACCACCTATTGGTAAGCGGACTAACGATTGGTAAACTGACTCACGGAGATAGGTTACACGGCACCTGTAAAAGGTAATTCCCGACTTCTAGCTTCTTTCTTTTCTTCCCATTTTTTTATACAGAGAGATCTTTAAAAGCTATTGGGTGTGTGCACGCACCAGAGAGACAGAGAAACAGAAAGCAAGAAAATCTCCCCCAATCCCTTCTCCAGTCACCTTTCAGGATTTTGAGCACGCACATGCAGCCGGCGTGAGTTTGAAGCCGCCAGGTCCAGAATCGAACCACGTGGGATTCCAGCAACATAACCATTACACTATCTCCTGGTCCCTCTTTCTTTTCTTTTCTTTTTTTTTTTTCAGTTTTGCTATAGGCACATGTGCTCACTAGAGAGAGAGACAGAGGGAGAAAATGAGAAATCACCCCCTCAGGGGGAAAGCCATGTTGCAATCCCTTCTCCTCCATTCTCCTCTAGGGGTTTTGGGCATGCACGCACATGCACCCAACATGTTTTTCAAGCATCAGTTCCAGGACTTGAACTGCTAAGTCAGCCAGATGGGATCCAGTCACCTTAACCACCATGCCACTGACGGGCTCAAACTTCTAGATTCAGGAGTTACTAAAAACATGATTTTAGTTTAAGTTTATTCAACCGAGGGACAAGTTAGGTAGGGGGCATGATTAACAAACCAAATAGCGTATGGCCTTTCTTCCTCACTGAGTGACTTTAAGAAGGGTGTTTTCTCCTCTTGGCTCCCAGACCAGTGGCGCCATTCCCAGGGTTGGTAGCCCACCAGAGAAACACAAGCCCCTTTGCTTTCTGTGTCTGCATGTCCTTTAAGTCTACATTTTCAAGGTTTGGGATTTGGAATCTGTTATTTACTTCTTCATCTCCCTCCTACCCTAAGTTCTAGAGACAGACTGATCTTCCTACCTCCCTTTCTTTGCTTGAGAGGCCCTCAGAGATCTGGGGGTGGGGGGGCGGCGGGTTATAGCACTGTGTCATCCAAAGGCCTCATGCCGACTTCCTTAGGATAAATGAGTTTAGGTTAATGCTTTAAAATCACGAGTCAGAGCCAGCAGGTGGCATAGTGGTTAAGGTCCTGGACTCCCATGTGGCTGACTGTGGTTCGAGTCCTGGACTGAGCAGCTTGAAATTCATGCAAGGCGCATGTGTGTGCATGCCCAAAATCCCTAGAGGAGAATGGAGAAAGGACTGTGGCATGGTCATCCCCCCTAGGAGAGTGATTTCTCACTTTCTGTCTCTTTGGCAAGCACACGTGCCCTATAGCAAAAATCTCTCCAAAAAAAAAAAAGAGAAAGAGAGAGGAAAAAAAGAAAATCACTAAAGTGAAGGAGTAGACAAAATTGTAAAAACATTCTAGAGGCTTCAAAGAGAGTGAGGAGCAGGGTTATGGAAGGAAGGGGAGGGTGGGTGGATTCATATTTAGATAGGAGAGAGGTGAGAGAAAGGGGGGAACCCCCTCCTTGCCACCCAGGCTCTCCCAGGGCTAGAGTGACACCCCCTCCCCCTGCTCTAATCCCCCCATTAAGGCAGCTCTGAGTTTGTTATGACAGCGGCTGAAGGCAGCTGAATTGCTGTTTGCTGTGTCTGCTAATTGGACTGAAGGGTTGGAGTCTGGACACTGAAAGGGACCATTGTTGCTGTTTACCTTCCACAGCCGCCTCCCTGGGGACCCTCTGGGTGAAGGGGAGCAGCACGCCCTCAGGGTCATTGCACCCATTCCTCTCTCTGCACAGGGGTGTGGTTGAGAGCCAGTTCATCTCACTGCCTTGGGGTGGTGTGAGCTCCCACAGCACGGAAGAGAAAAGCCGACCAGCTGAGCTGGTCTCCAGGCAGGGCCTGGGCACCATCCAGGAGGTCCTGGGAGAGGAGTCCGTGCTCATCTTGCTCCTCCCTATTCGGTCCCGTCTCCAAGGCACTGCACTTGGCCTCTTTCAGCTAATCAGCTTCCCCCTGCAACTCTCTTACCTGCTCTCTTCTAGCCAGTGATCCTCGGCTTGGCTATGCCCTAAAACCACCCCGGGAGCTTTTAAAAAAATACCCATGTTTGGGTCTCGAACAATAAAATCAGAGTTACTGGGAATGAGGCCGAGGCATGATCTCAATTAACGTGCAGATACGAACCGGTTAAGCACCAGCTACAAACTCATCTCTCTGCTTGGCAAGCACACACACACACACACACACACACACACACATTCCCTCCCCTTTCACCCCACCCCCCGCTATCTATCTCTGCTTGGCAAGCACACACACACACACACACACACACACACACACACATTCCCTGCCTTGTCACCCCAGCCCCTGCTATCTAGAATACTATCAGGCAGGTCGTGCATCTTTCTCATCTGAATTCCTTATAGAGGCCTTAGTATTTAGGATGGAATCTAGAGGCCAGTACTCCCATCTCTACCCGAGCTCTTCCCCAAGGCCAGGAATTATGAGCCTATCTCCCTGTGGGTTTCCAAATAGGATCCAGAGGAGGACTGAGCTGGCCTGGAGCTCCTGAGTATTAGGGATGGGGGAGGTTCCGATTCACCCACTCTGTGTGTCCTCCCTCTAAGGAGTACTGGCTGCTTGGGAGTCTTCCGAGAGGAGAAACTTTCTTCAGGAAAGTTTCCATTTCTTGGCTGTTTCCAAATGTTTCTCCTTCTTCTCTTCCCTTTAGCCGCTCACCTGGGCGGGTGGGTGCTCTATGGCCCTCGTCCCTCCGGTGGACGGCAGAGCCACGGCCAGCACCACGGACAGCTCCCGGGCGTGAGTGTGCCGGCTCCGGGACCCCCTTCCCGAGGGCCAGGAGGCCTTCTCCTGTCTGCACAGTCAAGTGTCGAAGACTGGATCTGAGGGTCTCTGGGCATTGTTTGTGGCCAGCTCTGCAGTCTCAGGGAGGGGCAGTGGCTGAAGGAAGCTGGCGTTCTTGGCTCCGGGAAACTGGGTTTGTCCTCGTGTAGGCGAGTCTGAATGAAAGGGCTTGCTCTAGTGGAGGAATAGTTTCGATCTCAGGGAGGATTTTAATGACGATCATTAAGGCCCACAGTGTTCAGATCAGGTACAGCTAAAATGAGCCTTAGCTGTCATCAGTACTAGTTCCTCGCTTTATAGCTCTCAAAGAAGTGGGAGAGGTGTGACCAAGGTCACTCTGCTGGCTAATGGAAGTGCTAAGACCCAGCCTGAACCCCAGTCTGGGCCTTTCAAATGTGTCCAACACCTCCTCTGGGAGTGTCCCAGCCTGGTTTGGGCTGATGCTGGAGGGGAGTTTACGGGTCGTTCCCGTTTGAAAAAGCACAGGATACATGTCTGGGCATGTGAGGTACCCAGAAAAGCCAGGAAGAGGCAGAACCCACTGCTCTCTGCCTGAGGTTTGGAGGGAAGGCATACCTAGCAGTGACTGGCAAGCCCATGGGAGAAAAGGCAAGGGGGCAACCATCTGCCAGGGCGCAGGGGCCGGTGGACGGCCACGAGGAGTCTCCAGAGGCCAGCAGGAGTCGAACGAACTGGAACGGGGCCTGGGAAAGGCCCTTCTGTGTGCCCAGTTCTGCTCCCCCAACACCGTGAGCCTAGAGACAAAGGGGCCATTCTCTCTAGGATTCGATGCCGCCATCTCCGGCTGGCAGTGCCAGGTGGCAGGGGCATCAGGGGGTGTCAATCCATTATCCCCCCCCAACTCCTAGGTCCTCTGGGGCTAGATGTTGGGGAGGTGGGTGTTCCATGCTATGTTGCCCTGGCAACCGCCCCCACCCCTACCCCCTAAAGCACAAAGAGAGGCAGCTTTCGCCTCCACCCCGGGGAAGAACCTGGGTCTGGCTGGGAATCTTCCCTTGGGAATCGTCCTTTCTGCTGCACCAGCCAGGGCATGCATAAGCATCACCCTCTTTTCAGCACCAGAGGGTGAAGATTCTGCCATCAGCAGACCATGCAGGCCAGGAGGCTGGCCATCCAGAGTCTGGGCGAGGTTGTGCAAGGGAGCACCGGTCCTTGTACTTGGCCCCTCTGTCCCCAAGCCCTCCTGCCCCTCACCTCCAGCCAAGGTCATCCTAGACCTTCTAGGCTCTCCCAGAAGGGAAGGATACCCTGCGACCCCCAGGCAATCTCCAGACTGTTGAAAGGGAGAAGAGGAGGGGGCCATCCCTGCCACCCTCCATCTGCACCCTCCGCCATTACTCATTAGGCATTCTGCCCCCTCCTTCCGCTCGTTAAGCCTGATTTGCATACATTTGCATAATACAGTTCATTTGCATTCCAGGAGGCTCATGGTAGAAGCCAGGAAAAAAGGGGAGGAGGGTTGGAGAAGAGAGAAAAGGGGCGAGATTTTGTGTTCATCAAAGTGAGGGGGTGCCGGGAGGTGGCAGGAAGAGGGCGGAAATAAAAACTCACACTACTTCTTTCTTCGCTTTTGCCCTCCCTCCCTGGGCCGGACTCGGATGCCAGAGGGCCCAGAGAGCCATGCCAAGGGGCCGGCTTTTCGGTCCTTTTTTGTCTCGCTTCCTCCGGCCTTGGCTCCCCAGCCTGGCCCCCCACCTTGCCGGGCTCGGGCTTCAGAAAGAAAGAGGCAGGGTAGGAGGCCAGGCCGTGGGAGCGAAGGCAGCCAGGAGGCGGCGGCGCCAT